GAATTGACGCCAAAAAACGACTGGAAGAAACGAATGACACGCTATTGATAACTCGGCTATAATCGGTGCCTACGTCAGTGCGTTGCTTTTAAAGTCGTGGCGTTCAACGGAGTTGGTCTTATTGACAGCTCTTAATATATTATATTCAGTCTGGCTTGCAAAATCTTGTTGAACAGACTTCTTGCGGAGAAGCGTTTGCAAATCGTTAAAATTTATTACTGGTTCTCGCGAGGCATGGAACGCTACATCCAATAACTAGTCGACATAATCGTTCAGTCGAGTCAGTAATTCGAGCAACCAAAGTTGACTTTAGTGAATAATGCTCAACCTCAAATACTCCACATAGTGCACAACGAAGAAGCTAATGCTGCTGTGGGGAGGAGTATCGAAGGAAATCCGAATGAATCCATCCGCCATTGCGCGCAACAGTTGGTACCGAGTCCATCTTCTTTTTGAAACTCGTGCAGTAATCGAAGCCGAACGATCATTAAGTTCGTCGCACACTCGGCGAATCGGCCCAAAACAATAGACTGCCGTTTCCGATATGTCCAAGAAAATTCTGTCCAGCGATTTAATGCTTTCCGAGCCATGATAATCCGCATGCCATTGTAGAGGTGTCATGACATCTTTATATAATAATATCACAGCTAATGGCAAATGTTATAGAGTTATGTTTACTGACTTGTACATGCATGAAATGGGCCTGAAATGTTGCTGTGGACGACCCTTGGCTCCAACAAATGCTACATGCCATACAGAAAGTAAAAAATCAATTTCTTGAAGGTTATTTTTGGTGAGCGCATTATCTTTCGTAGTGGCGTGACCTCCAAGTTCGTTTGAAATCTGTTGTGCCCAAATATAGGCAACGTTACGCTGCTATTTGTAGTTTTTTTAATTTTCAGGAGAGCGAAAACGTTGCCTACATTTAGGGGAAAATTTATAAAAAAATTTAATGATACACTGAGCGACATATTTGCGGGTGTTGTCTCTTACATTTTGGCATTTAGACCTCAATGTTGCTAACTGGTTTTAAATCACCAAAAGGAGAATTTCGTGAAGGTCGTCCAAAATCAGTCATTGTTCTCGAAACTATTATTGCTATGCGCTAAAAAATATTGCATGATCCTCATGTGATCTACAGTAAGATTGAGGCAACTATAGGTAGGTTGCATGGGCATTGTCAATCGCTCAGAAAAATACCAAGTTATTAAACGAAGATTTACGCTTATGAGCCCGAAAGTAAACAGCAGTCATATGTAAGAGTGTTTTAAGATGAGCGAAATCCAAGAATAGTTTTTCGTGGACGAAGCATTTCCATGCAAATTGTTGTCTGTTTTTTTTTTTTAAACTGGACATGTCGCAGTCGTAACAGTATAACAACGCCCAGTAAATTTTGAGCTTCACACAATCATTTATTTGTTAGTTGTTTTCCAAGAAATGAGGAAAGCCAACCGCCTATGACGGATCACTCTTCACCACGACAATACGAGCGTTCGCATATGAACTGAAACATTCAAAACATCGATTCCATGGTGGATGACTTTGGCACCAAATGATTTCTTTGTTTTTGCACGTGAAATAAAAAACGGCACCTGAGAAAGCGGTCTTAAAAATACCTCTATCGGAGTGGCAAAAGTTCTTCGACAATTGGTTCAAACGTCACTAACACACGAAAGACCCAATGGAGAATATTTTGAAGAACAATAAAACGATTTTCGAAAATTATTAATATTTTGTCTGTTTTTTAATCCCGAAATATAAATTTATACCCGAAAAGAAGTATTTATATTGTTTAAAAACTCAATTATTGTTTTTATTTAATTAACTGTTTTCTTTTTATTTCAAAATATTTTTTTTTGTTTTAAAAACCTTTGTTCCCTCAACACCAGCAACACCCGTAATATTATTTTCTAATCGAAATTTGCAATTAGAATTTAAGCAAATCAAATTCAAATTAAAAAATAAATTAAAACTTCACAAAGAGGCAAACCAATTTTTACCAGCTTTTTCAGTTAGAATATCAGTTATACAAAAATTATGTTTTTTCTCCTGTTATTTTTATATATACACATATATATATATTATTTTTTTTTGTAGCTTAGACATTACACCAAAGGATATGAGTGTAATCTAAAATCGTCAAAACATAAAACGAATTTCCAATTAAAATATCAATCAAACCGAAACTCACTAGGGCATGACTGAATCGCACTCATACTCATGCACGTGAGTGAGGTGAGTGTGTATTTGAGGACTTTGGTGGCTACCAAATCTCAATAAAATCATTTATGCGTTTTTGTAAGTGAGCAAGTGTATTTATTAAAATTTTTTGCAAAATCAGTAAAACGAAATTTTAGAGTGCTCTTTAGATTTGCATTAGTAAAAAAAATATATATATATGTATTTACACTATTTCACTTCTTATAAAATAAAAATAAAAAGGATTACATTGATGAAGCCAACACACACCTATATATATGTATGGTAGTCAGAAATTTCATGAAACATAAAAGCATATTTTCCCTGTTCACAGGCAGAAATTAAAATTGGAATGAAAGCAAAAGGCCAAGAGGAGGCAAGATTTTTCAAATTCGTATGAGTGCTATATGTGTGTATGTGAGTGTGTATATGTGTGCATTCGACCATTTGTGTACATAGAAATCTAAATGTGTAGGCAAATCAAAACATAACCATAAAGCAACAATCTCTTTCACAAACAACATGAAAACAATCCGCCCCCCTCCCAGCAGGAGCAGCACCAGCAGCCAAAAGCCATTGAATAATAATAAAAACAAGAGTCTGCAGGGTGTTTTCGTTTCTTTTTTTTTGTAAAAAAAAGCTTAATAAAAATGTTAAAACCCAAATGGCATCAACGTGTTTGCCACACTAAAAGCGTTTCCACCAACAACCAAGCAAATAAACCAGAGAACAGCAAAAATGGTTGAAGTTCTTCTGTCAAACATACGTGTACGAGTCAGATTTCAGATTGTCTGTGTATTCGTGTGTCTCTGCCAAAATTTTATTTCTATGAAAAAATAGTATATTTTGTTGTTATAAATTTCTATATTAATTTTAAGAAAAAATATATTTCTAACTGAAATCTGACTTCAATTCAAATCTTATATTTTTGATTGTTCAATTTCGAATTTTCGAATTAGTAATATTAAATATAAAAAATTGTATAGGAGTGTTGTCTTTTTTAATATGTTGCCACTTGGTGGACATCCTCAGTACGGTTGGACCCATATTAGAGACTTTATTGCTAATGCGCCTGAATGTAGGCAACGTCTTATTTTATGCATTCTGAGCAACTTCTTTGAACGCAACGCGTAGGCATGGCTTAATATGAAGTTAAAATAAATTTAAGTGAAAAAAATGTTCGATTCAGAAGAACTAAGATCTTAAATTGCTTTGCATGAAATCATTGAAAATTTTGTTAACAACAATAGTTTACATTAATTTCCGATAAACTACAGAGCGCGAAATTTCGTTCTTTTAATTACATCGTTGAACCCAGTAGAATCGAAGATTTTTTCATGAGGTGTAAATAAGCCATAAGGTTCAAAACAATAATAAAATCTTAGTGAATAAGGAATAAACCAAAAGAGGTCTTGTCGGCCATGCTGAAGTCTCTTTGTCTTTCTTGAAGGATATAAAAATTCTTGCATTGTATTTTAGCATAAAATATTTGTTCTCATATCTGAAAAATCAGTTTTAAGGATGCCATATCTTCCAATTTCGATCATTTAAAGTGCCAATATTTATTTGAATTAACGTGTAAAAAATATGATACCATAAATAATGCTCCTTGATGCTTACTTTTACCTGTTTTGAGTTAAAACCTTTTGTTTGAACAAATCGGATGCGTGAGGTCTGTATGTTATGGTGGTCCGGTTCCAACAAACGATCCATACAGTATAAAAATATATCTGAATACAGTTCACATGTCTTAAAAACTGAGGAGCTAACATTCCGATCCGTTCGATATGAATTTTGGAGGGTATCACATACTTCGGTCACATACTTTGTTAATGAAAGCTATATATCTATATACGTGTATAAGTGATTTTCCGCCGTGCTCCTCCTCCAATTTGTGGTTTTTCGTCTTGACGTTTTACCAACAAATGGAGGGACCACAGTGTATACTAAGCTGCCTCGAACGGCTGATGGTTTTTTATGAGGAGTTTTTATTTATTTGTGTTACAATTGGTTGGTAGGTAGTTTCTCCAAGAAATGCATGATTTTGAGTAACTCAACCGCATTTGTATTCGAGTATCATTATCTATAAATATATATTAAACAACGAAATCCTAAGTCCCTTCTGTTCGAATGTCTGTCTATCTGCTCGCAATGAACTTAAAAACTAGTGATCAGATTATCTTACGATTTTCACCAATGTATAAAGAAATTATTGAGGATGGTTTGTATAAATAACGAATCCCACTTACTGTGTTAAAGTGCTCATAAACAAAATCCTTTCCTTTAACTCAACAAGTAATACTTAACCGAATTTATGATTCTCGATTTGGTACAAAATAAATTTTGTATATGAAATGTATCGAAATGAGATAGGTGAGAGTGCACACCGACAATTTGACGGGTTGTTTTATGTTCGACGGTGCTGTTAAACGCAAATCATGGGTCAAGAGCTTTCCAGCCGCTACAATCTGCCTGAGCCACTTATAAGGATATATGCGAGCGGAAAAGAAGCTTTTAGCTTTCATTATCTATCATCTCCTTTATAAAACCTTTTTTATTGTCTAAATAGAATATCGTTTATAAAATCCATGACAAAGTCAACCCGCTCCACTAGTGTAATATGTGCATATATTTCAACTAAAATTTAATTAAATAATTGTTGAGCTTTCTTGAGCATAATTTCAAAAAACAACTCGAGGTTTTTTTTTGCTTAAGGCAAAGGCAAATGATGCTTTTCAATATATAGACACCGATTCTTTTCTTTAACAGTTCCATTTATTAAAGTTTTTTTTTTCACTCACCTGACATATCTTCGCTGTGCTCATCATCATGCATTTCATCATCACGATCTGCATTACTGCTACTCGAACCCCAACCGCGACCACCACCATAGTGACCCGTTGGTCCATTTCTACCGGTAAATTTATTTGGATCTAAAATATTCTCCACAGAGAAAGCCAACCGTTTGGTGGCCTCCTTTTCCAGCGAAGCATTCGTTGCAGAGGATGTTGTTGAGGCATTGGTTGGCACCGATCGTGTCAGGTCGACGGGACAGGCCTGTAAGGGTGAAACGAAAAACCGATATGTGACTGTATGCAAAGTGTAAACTTAGCATGAACATATATATATATATATATATTGAAAAATCTTATATTCCTTTTCAAGTATGTATTGCACATATTGCACATTACATATACATATAAAAAGAAAAGACTATAGAAAAAAATTAGCCACAAGGCCAATTTAGGTTTTCTCCTTCACGTTGGTTTTTCAACGTTGTGGTTGCTAAAATTAGTTTTCAACTGAAATTCGTTTGCTCGATTTTGATTTGATTTGTTATTTCTTCACGGTTAGAAATCTTAAATTATATTCTTATTTTTTAAAAAATATTTTAAAACCAAAATGTGTGATGTAATTTTGATTAAAAAATAAAAAGAGATATTAATTCTAAATTGGACAGAGTGCACAAAATAATGTCTATTTTTGATCAGAAAATTTGATGTCATAAAAAATATGTTATAAGGAAATATAAAAATAAAAGAGAATAAATTAAAAATTTTCTGAAAAATATAACTTAAGGGGCACACCTAGTGTAATGGCCTAAAAAAAAAGGTGATTTTTGGGAATATTTATTATAAAAATTCTTTATCAATTATTTCAAAATTTTAAGAATATGTTTACACATGTTGCAAGAATATACGGTGAAATTTTTGAAGAAAAAAATTAAATATTTTTTTAGTTATAACATTGGAGATCGGTTTCGGATCGGCGCGAAAAAAGATCCTTCACTGCTGCAAAAAATTCTCTACTAGAAAATCAAAAATTGACAATATGATGGCGTTTAAAAAAAATAGTCGAATTTTACCCAAAATTTTGGTCGCTTTTGGTCTGCCAAAATTTAGATCAAATATCGATAGGTCATTGTACGAAGAACTATATATAGAATTTGTAAAAAAAATTCGATAGTGATCGGATCATTTATTTTTGAGTAATCACTGCAGCAAATTCGGAAAATGCTGTTTCGAGAAAAACGCGCTTAAAGAAAAAATGATCGCTTTCACTCGTAGCTAATCAGACTCTCTAGCTGTCGAGCGGCTGCTCTTTAAATTGCTCTAAATTAAAAAACTATTTGAGATATCGATTTGAAATTTTAATGTGTTATTTTTAAAGGTGTAATCTACCGAAATATGAAAATCGAAGAACTACTTAATTTATATGATTATTTCATAAAAGTAGGGTGTAGTTATTATTACTGATTTTAGTAGAATCTAGTTAAAAATTTTGAAATCTTCGCAGGAGCATTTAAGAAGTGCTTGGTAGATTTTGAATTTTTTTTATTAAAAAATGTAAAAGTATTCATTTTGTCTTCCCGTTTTTATACGGTACAAAAAAAAACATTTTCCTAGAATATCATTAATTGAAGAGTAGAATCGATTTAGCCAAGTCTGTCTGGTCATCGGTCCATCCGTCCATTTGTTTACACGATAACTCAAGTAAGGATTGACAAATTTTGTGTCACGCATTCCAATGCTACCAAGTACGACGCTAATCTAAAGCAGTGAAATCGTACCAAGTTCACACCCACCTTACGTATAACGGTAACCCACGATAGTTCAGGAACTAAATTTGCAGTTAATGTTAGGGCAGATCGTAAATGGAAAACATATAAAAGTTAAACAAAAGTGGCAACACCTCCTTTGGATCAAAAAATATATCTCAGAAACCATTGGACAGCGTGAGAAGAACCACAAGTTGATTATGGTTGCATCGGGTAACAGCTAAGCCTTTTTAGTATTACTTAAGGCATTAATAATAAGCAGAACCCAACCAAACTTGATGGGTACCCTACTTTTGATACGGACTAAAGTCCAGAGAGAAGTGTTTCCGTGGTGTCTGTGGGCTTACGATCGAAATTTGAGTAATTTGTCGAGAAAACTTGATCATACTTAATGTAGACGATGATTACAGTGAGTTTCAAATATCTACAAACAAGCCTACGTTCTATATGTTCATATATTTGTAACCTTATTAGGATCTTAGACCCTCTCTGAAAGTCGGATATGCCGAGCCTAGCTTTGCGCATTTGTTCACATATGGAAATATTTTAATTCATAGCGTGGCCACTTTTTGTGCTTTAAGGGTAGATTAAGGGGCACATAATCAGCCAACTACTCAAGCAAACGGTAAAATTTTAAAGAAATTTAAAGAGTGTGAATCGGTTACAGATATGGCAAGGCCTGAGCATCATCGTTTTTCTACTGTAAGCGAAAATGTTGCCGAAGATCCGATGAAGAAATAGACACATCTCGACGTTCTCAAAAGCTTGAACTTTCTTACGCCGCAATATGGAGTATTTTGCATTTGGACTTACTCCCCTATCCATTTAAGTCCACCACACGCTACAACAGCAGCCAGCTGACCATTCTCGATGCCGTACATACTAGAGCTGAAGATTTTGTTCAAACATTTTCGAGCTGCTCGAGCATTTGTGCAACGAGTGCTCGAAAACTCGCTCATTGCTCATTTTCGAGCACGAGCTCGAGCAATTCAAACTTTCTTTAGCATCTTAAAAAAAAAATTTGACTTTTTTCCCAAAACTCCTTTCTATAATTCTGATTTGATTTATGCAAAATATAAAATTTCAAGCTATCATTTGAGTAGTTGAGCAACGAGCGAGTATCGAGCTGCTCACAATGCTCAATACCCGAGTATCTGGAACTTTAGTACATACTACGTATTACGTACGTCGATTGGGTGCTTGAACAACAAGCCCACTGGCTCGGAGGTGCGATTGGACTTTACTTCTTTGAAAACCCCAACGGCGAGCCCATCACTGCAATAAGATGTAATATGCAACGTCTTGGCGATGTTAATTAGGCACTGTATTCATGTGGTTAAACCCAACAAGCTATGGCTGACATACTGCCCAATATGTGCCAAAAAGTTGTCGAAACCCCCTCAAAAGGATCGAAGTTTGCCGAAATCGCGAGGCGGTCATTCGAGTGATGTAGTGTTTCACATAAAAAAAAGAAAGGAATTTAATGGGAAAAGTTATTAGAAATGCATTTTTTTTACGTTTATTTTCGAAACCTTACCATGAATGACTCTTTATGTTCGTATCATCTCGTATATGAAGGAAACCCCAAAAATCTATTGAATTACAAAAGTTAAGAGTCCGAAATCCGAAATCCACGGTAGAATTGTATGAACTTAAGGTCTTGATCTTGCATATAAATGAATTTCAATTTTCAATTTCAAAAGTAATACCCTTCTGCTGCCTTAAAATTAATGGGAACTCACCATTTTTTTTTTGAGTGAACTTTTTCACCTGGATTTGACTGATCAAATCGATCAATCGATCACACTTATCATTAATATGAATATTGTATAGGTCACTGACGAAAGAAAGACGGGAAGGAGAAATTAAAATATATTTTATATAAAGGGTTTTCCAATGAGAGGTGTTATTTTGCTGATCCCGCTATTCTGGTAGATGCCACTTTTGAAACTGTAATTTTTAGACATTCGACAAGTGAAAACTAAGCCAGTAATAAAAATGGAACGATACACGTTTCAAAGGCGCACTGAAATTATTAAATTTCATTATAAAAATTCATCGAAAAGTCTTCTTTTTTCATGAGTCCCATTGCCACCTCAATGGTTACGTCAATGATAAAAACTATTGCATCTGGGGCTTTGAAAACTCAAGATTTATTGGTGCGGTGTATAGTCCGGTGGGGACATTGGACTTTTCCATTTTGAAAATGAATGGATTGCGTTGTCGAGGGATGATTAAACATTTTTTTATAGCCGGAAATTGATCTGGACAACGTTTACTATCAACAAGACGGCTCTACGTGCCACGCAAGCAACGAAACCTGCAATCTTTTTCTTTGCATATCAATATAACACCCGTTATTGGAAACCCTGTTGTAATGATCTCCAATATTTTTAATTTTTTCCTTCCAAACATCGCCAATTAATGTGTGCAGTTCACTAATGTATGGGTAGATATGTTTTATAATAATTTCGGCTGGAACCCCAAATCATTGAAAGGCTTCGACTAAGAAGCTTCTCAACATCCTCAGATAGATGATTCGAAATTATTACTGAAAACTCACCGTTGGCGTGCCATGAGATCCATCATTGCTATCTTCGTCATTGCCATCCACGTTCAATTCCTCACTGGTATCACTGCGTGCATAATTCGCAGCCGCAATCTGGCGTGAAGTAGCTGCAGCAGCTGCTGCAGCCGCTGCCAAACCACCCAGCTGTATTCGAAAGCCATAATCACTAAGATCCGGACGAGCATTCGATGATGGCAAGCACAAACCGGACGCAGCGGCAGCCATGGAGGCAGCAGTTACAGCGGCGGCAGAGGACGAAGAGGTACTGCTGCCACCGGACGCATTAGCAGCTGAGTTCAATGTCACGGTAGAACGCGCAGCTACAGCCTGTGCGGCGACCAGCTTAATCCTTTCCAGATCCATATCATGTGCGGTTGTAAGTGTTGATGAGGGACTACAATTGGTCAACTGTTGGGCGGCATGTGAGGAGAGGCTGTGCGTGCCGTTAAGTAACATTGATGAGGGTGGCGTTGACAGGAGATGATGTTGATGTTGGGGCGAAAGTGTCGACGCTGAGGGGCATGTAGATGTTGGAGTTTGTTGTGCGGCATGCTGTTGTTGGTGTTGCTGATGATGTTGTGGCTGTACGGGTGAGAGCATTTGTGGCTGCTCGGAATGCGGTTGAAGTGGTGATGTGGGTGGTGATAGCGGTGAACTGGCGGGTGAGGGCAGGCGTTGATGCAAGCTTGGTAGCGGCGGTGGCGGCGGCAAACCAATCATATTCGTAAGTGGTGGACGTAACGAATGAAAATCCGCCAAAGCGTGATGCGCAGTTTGCTGGTGGAGGTGATGGTGATGTTGTTGATGCTGGTGCTGGAGCTGATGCTGATGCTGCTGGTGATGATGTTGCGCAGCAGCGGCTGCGAGGAATTGTGGATTTTGTAATAGATGTGGATGTTGTTGCAACAATGCCGCATGTGGATGGGGCAGTGGCTCGGGACGCGGCAATTGACAGGGAGAATCGTTCAGCTCGAGCAGCTTGCGTTGCGGTGGACTCTGGTATGTGGCGACAGGTGGCGGCGAAAGTGATCGACGAGTGTTGCAGTTGTTGTTGTTATTCGGAGTGATATTGCCATTAATGTTCATATTGTTGTTGCTAACATTACAATTATTGTTGTTGTTAATATTATTGTTGTTATTGCACTTTTCGCCATCCATGGGCTCAGGCGTAGAACTGGACGTGGCGGTTGGACTCAGACGATTAACCACATTTATCTCGGTCATTTGCTTGAGGCGCTCGAGCGAGTAGCGTAGACTGTCTCCAGCTGTATTGTTGGTCGACTTGCCGGCGGTTGTGTTGGTGCTGTTATTGTTGGCAGTCGCACCAGCAGCAACCGTTAGAGTTTGTTGGCTTATGATGAATTTGGGTATTTTTGGTGTTAGCGAAGCGCTTGGCGTTGTAGATGTGGGCGTGACAGCACCACCGACATTACTGCAAGCCACCTCTGGTGAGGTATTGGACTTGGGCGAATCCGGATTGGAATTCGGACTCAACTGACCGCCGACGGTATTTGCGGGCAATGCGTCGGCAGTCTTCGCAGGTGATTGCAGCATCACCATGTTGCCGTAGGGATCTGGGGACACTATCAGCACGAAAATGTGAAATTTTAAAGTATTTTTGAACGTTAATTTTTTTTTTACTAATAAAATTTTTTTTGTCTTTTTTTAACTCAACACACGCGGCGAGTTTGTTTGATCTTAACGGTACTTGCTTACACTTCTCCAAAGAGTTCAGAGTTCACTAAATGAGTTTGCCTCCGTCGCGTCTTTACACAAAGCGTTCACTTGTTGTAATGCACCACGCGGAATCTGTGCAAACACTTTTATGTACTGCAACCGTTGGAGGGCAAGTGGTCAGCGGCAGTGTGAGCGCATAACGCACATTGAAGTTCTGTAAGCTGCGGATGGCCTTAACAATATATTCGAGCGACGGAACCGTAAGAGACCTTTTAGCTACCGTCCGCTTCACGACGTTTAAGTACTTGTAACTTTGATAGCAGCCAACCGACTGTTACTGATTTCACATCACATCCGCATCCGCAGTGCGTATCTGAAGCGGGGTAGCAGCAGCTGATTTACTTGCTCTTCCTTTCTCCACTCACTCAAACTTGCGGCGGACGTGAATCTCTGGCAGCGAGGGGTCGCACTGTCACTGACACGTTTGCACTGTCAACTCGTCTGCTCAAGCGTTGTGCTGTGTGCGTACGTATGTATGTGCGACTCGGATTTGTTGTGCGACGCGGCGTTAATCTAATTGAGTGCTGTCAGTAGCCGTAGCTGAGTATCTGCTTGCTTGCGGCAAATCAACTACTACTGAGCGGATGCTGTGTGTTACTGACGAGCTCGTGTGGCAACCTCACACCACCAGAGCAGCGTGGCTTCCGCCTCCGTCGCCTGGTGGTGGTGTTTCCTGCCACATGTGCACGCCCATCTCGATGGTAACATCTGTTGCCGTTGCCGCGGTGGCTTTGAGTGATATTGTGAGTGAGTTTGTACGAGTGAATGCGATGCTCCGCCCATAATGGCTAATGGAAGGCACTGATTTTTTTTTTCAGCAAGTCTTTTTACAATATTTTCTACGAGCACATGTCAAATGGTGTGTGTATATATGTATGTGTGTGCTCTCTCTCGTAAAGCCAAGCATATGCGGCATCTTTTGACACACCATAACTACGCTCGGTACTTAAGTTTAAAGGATCAGTATCACAATCTAATGATTTAATTTGTTTTCCCCTCGTTAGCAAATGTAATGGTGTGTTCCGAGGCGACTTTTCATATTTCGCATGCATCACGTTGCAGGCTATAGTCAGACATATTGTATATATGTAAATACATATAAACATGGGGCTGGGCGCAAGTTTGTGAGTATGGGGCTGGCCCAGACTAAGAAAAAACAAACTGACGCATTCCAACGAACACCCTACGGGCACTTACTGTGGGCTCATACTCGGAGAGTGCAAGAGCATAATTTTTGTAGGGAATCCCTGTTCTGCTTCCCTCGCTGGCTTTTACATATGATTTACACTCGATCCACCCCCTTTCCTCAGACGTGCGGTCCAACTGCTGTTGCATTGTGCATGTATTCGCCTTATTTACCTCCCTCTCGGTGAGGGATGTGAGTAATTGTCAAATTATTTAGCGAAAAATTTGTTTGTTTAAACGCTTGGCTGCACGGCAAATGGATTTCAGAGGTTTTATTTTAAAACATTTCCCCCTCGAGCTGCTGTTGTTATTGCTATTGTTATGTTGTTTACTTTTTACTATGTAGATACTTTTTCATTGACTTGTTTTTAGCTGCGCATACATTGTTGCCGAACATATGGGCTAGCCTGCAAGCACATTTGTACATACGTACGTATTTTTATATATGTACTGTCTATTTGTGCTTTTGTTTTGTTCCTCTTCTTGCCCTAATTGGGTGGCTGGCTCACCATATAGCTGGCGTTTCGCCCCTCTTTTTTTTTTTTTTTGTTAATTTCTTTTTGCGATGCTTGAATGCGACTTTCTTTGTAGTGTTGCCAATTTCCGTTGAACGTAATTTAATTGCCAAATTGCTACATAAATGCCACATACTTAGCAATGTATATTTATGTTGGTACATACGAGTATAAACAAACAAACACACGTCTTCCTATTTAAGCTCATATGTTAATTGGGTAACGTTTGCGACGGCTAATTAATTAAAATTCATCAAGCATTACCATGTAAATTCGCATACAGCGTCACATAAATAAACCTACATACATATATATTGTACATACATTTGTACATACGTGTATGCGTGCATATGCCTTATAAGTTTTGTTGTGCGTTACCAGATTTACTTGCAACAAAATTTGTAATAATTAAAGGGGTTGACATGGCATCAAGTCATGTAAGATTTCAATGATTCGCCTCATTTTTCTACGTCTACGCTTGTTAAATGCCAAAAAAATTAGTAATCTTTGCGAAATTTATTTTAAAATACTCTTACTCTTCTAAAAAATAATAAAATTAAGTGCAAAAATAATGTATTGGTTTTAACAGAAAATTAATATTAAATAGTGTTAATAATAAACATTGTTTGCTCCGCCGGAGGGATTATTATATATATGAAGGCGATGGCTAAAACCAAGGCTTCGTTGTAACGATAAATTGGACGTCAATCAAAAAAATTATTGGAAATGTTATCGTTAAAACAGTTATCAATGTAAATTTTATTTCAGTTTAAGCCGAAAGGAAATGTTGTCGTTAATGTTAAATCGTTAACAGAGAATGTTAAGCGTTAAAATTGCAGTGCGCTGTTAATATCCCAGCAAACAGCCATTTTAAAAATCAAAGTTAACGATGAGTTTGTACGGTTTTAACATTAACAACTTCTTATCGTTTCTATAACATGGCGCCGAAACGAAACAACAGCCTTTTGTTAAATTTATCTATCATATTAATAGAACGAAATGGCATCGTTTTGTTAGTTGAGCATCTCGGCTTGAAACTGTAGGTTTGTAGGGAAAAAAGTCGAGGCGCACACCGCAAATTGGGTGTTAGGCTTGGCTTATTGGCAATAAATTGGGAAAATCGATTTTCATGACTTCTATTGAGGCTCATTCTTCAGCAGCCATATTATTTGCCATAGACAGGAAAAGATGTTAATCACTTGGTTCGAGGTCCAGACTATAAGGTGGAGGTGTAAAAACCGCCCAACCAAGCTTTTAGAGCTTCAGGCGAGTCACTGTCGATGTGTTTGGTCTGGTGTTGTCCTGATAAAACACATTTCCTCTTGATTCAGGCGGTCCTATTTCTGACACCACAGGTCCGAATTAAGAGCATGGATGACTGCTTTTCAATAACAGCAAACATACAATATAACCTCTCGGCTGTCACTCCTGGCTAGGAGACCATTTTTGACGGCAAACTTCGACCCCAAGTGTTTTCATTTGACATTGCTGTAAGTGCTCCACTTTTCATCCCCAGCCAGCATCCGTTTCGGAAATATGTCCATCTTGTTACGATTTGTAGATTTCCCATTGGCTGGTGCCTATCTTTGATATTCGCTACAAACACTAAAACACTTCTTCCATCTAGCGTAATCGAATCGCACTTATAGAACACGAGATACAGTTCACTAAAGCCTTGACTTTTTCTTGATTTAATATTTGTATGCTCCGTATAAGAACGGCAGACGCAAATGGAAAATGTCAATTATTCAAAAATTAAAGCCCTGAAGTAGAAGTATTGCCACTCTCTGAGGCTCTCCAAATTCACGCATATTAATAGTCGAAATCTAGTCTTAAAGAAGTTGCCTCAGTATCGATTGTATGGGTTTTGTCAGCAGTTAAGCAGAAATCTAGGCTTTCTAGATGTATGAGTTACGATTAGAGTTAAGTAGTTTTTCTAAAATTTAAATAAACACGATTATTTTTCTTTGGATAAGAAAAAGTTCAACCTTCTCGATCAGCTTGAATGATTATTGCAGAGACCTTTGTAAATACCATTTAAGGATTTAGTGGGAGTGGCTCTCTATTGCTTTTATTGAGTGAGGAATAAAATCGTTTGAATTCCTTCCTACCACATGAGAAGCAATAATACCAAGCTGCAAGTTTATTTGCTTCCACACTTAGGCCTGAAGAAATTTTAATTTTTCAACAAGATAATGCTCGCTTTCATGATAATCGCTCCTTAAAGCAATGGTTTGCCGATGAGCGAAATGACAATTTTGAAGTGACCCACACGATCTCTCGACATAAACCCAATGACATTTGGGCCTCATTAATTTTGCTTCAAATGAACCCTGAAATGCTTCAACTGTACGTTGATTAAAAAGTAAAAAATAGTATTTGATAATAAACAAAAGATAATGTGTTTACCGTGCCTAATTAGTCAAACACTTGGAGTTCCACTAACAAACGCTGCTCAATATTTCACTCCCACGTTTTCAGTTTTGGGATATTTAATACTTCTTAAGTGCGTCTATATCGGTGAGTAGCAATAACATATCATGATTTCGAAATCACTAATTCTTTCATCTTAATTGAATATGTGTGAACAGCAAGTTCACAATTTAACGCCTAATTGTCTCAGTTTCTATTGAAAATAATTTATTTCCCATAAATTAAGGTTTAGTAAACAGAAATCATTGGGGAAGATAGAATATTTGTAAATTAAATTGTTGTTTGTACTTGTAACGTAAACCTTCCACTTCTATGTGATTGTGAGGCATTAGAAAATTGAGATTTTAAACTTGCAGCATGGAATTTTCTAATTCGTAACAACATTTCCTGAGTTGATGACCCTGATATCACTTTGCGACCAGTTCAGTAAACACATCGTTCTATGACATTTCTTTATTTCATCTGAGGGGTTTCCCAGACTAAATTTTCTTCATTTAATTTATTTGAAACCTAAAAAAAATACGAAAAGAAGAGAATTAAACTTGGCTTAAGGCTATCAATTTAGCTTCCAGGGTGTGGTCATACTATATTTTGAACTTATACAAAGCAGATTTCCCAGAAAGGGTAGGTATCAATTTGAATTTCAAATCAAAATATTTTTTTACTTCCGTTTTTGAGGGAGAAATGTTTTTCGAGTTCTCGAAAAACGCTTTCCGATACCCTATTTTTGAGATTTCGACGACAAAAGACAAAAATTTTCCATTTTCAATTAACCCAACGACACTGAAATTAGTGACTTTGAGCTTTAAATGGTCCTTTGTTTTTATTTTCAAACTTCGGTAAGCCAAGTTTTGGAAAAACCATAAGCGCAGTATTTCCTTGATCCTCTAAAGTTACCCAGTAGTGTAACAAATACATATAAAGGCATATATCCTCTAAAGAGATACTCTAAGCATATTTTTACAAACTAACTGTACAACGTAGCGGCAACTCTGCCTTTTCTGTCGCATCCACTTACTGTACTGTTTTGGATCATACTTCTGCTGCTGCTATTCTATCGCATCAACTTATAAATCATTTTTTGTGTATAACTGCATTTAGTGAATTAC